TCAAATGAACGGAGATCGGCCTTTGCGATGTAGGCTTTAGATATCTCAATCAAGTACTCCTCCAAGTCCGCAAGGGTAGTCACTGGGATATCGGTCATTAGATCGTCATGGCTGCCAAAATGACCTAGAGCTGAAACAGCCCATGTTTGAGTCTTATCGAGAAAGTGTTTTGGCGGTTCGGTGAGCTCGAGCCAACGAACGAAAGAATTAGAAAGGGAAAAATTAGGAGTTTTCTTGATAACTTCGTTGATGGTCACGATATCTTGCGGCAAGTGTAGACAGAAAAGATGGTGGCGAGCCACTGCCTGAAATAAGTCTCGAGTAACCTTGGTATCACTTGAGCACCTAAACGTATTCGAAATGGACCAGGGAAACTTAGGGATAGAGCAAAGAACATCCAAGCTCTCCGAGGTCAGGGTCAATCCGTTTCTTTTCAGGAAGAGTCTGATCCAACGAGCGTTCTCCGTAATGGACAGACGCTGGGCCTCGTATGCCAAATCGCCTATTTCCTCAAATTGGGGTGAATGTCGGTGGCCTTGCAAGAGGTCTACGACGGGGGTTTCTTCCGACCGTACAGTGACCTCGGGCAGTTTAGCATCACTGTTCTCAATGGCTTCCCAATCCTCCTCTGTCAAAGGCTTCAATCGCTCATTTAGAGATGCAGCCATGGGGACGGCGTAATTGCGAAGGACGGCAAGTGCTTCTGGTGTTGGGTTCTCTTTGTAAACCTCCAGAAGGCTTGAGAGGGCTTTAACTCGGACATCAACGTGGTTGGCGTGACGAAGCAGCTTCTTTGCAATAATGTCAAAGCTGAAGGATGGTCCGGCATACTCAGTGTTTCCAAGTAGCTCCAAAATCATCTTAATCGTGGTGATCTTAAGAAATGGCTTCTTTTTCGATTTATAGCTTAACCTCTCCGCGAAGGAGGTACAAAGAGAAGAGAAGAAATCCTCGGTCGCTTGATGATCCAAGGATGCCAATGTGCCCTTGTTTAGGACAGCCCTGTGCCAGGAGCTCGCATTAGGGAAATCCAAGACAAAGCGAGAGATGAGAGGAACGGCAATCGAAGGCTCATTACTCCGTGACAGGAGCTTAACGACTTTGGTGAATACTTCGTAAGGGGCCTGGGCAACACTCTTCTCAGATTCAATTCGCTCAAGAATAGAGGACGCAAGTGTTTCCAAGAGCTGTGGGGGAACATGTTTGTTCAGGCGTGTCAGAATCTTCAAGGCTCCTTCATGGCTTTTCCCTGTACGCTCAAGGAAATCTTCTTCCAGATAGACTGCTGGGAAACGCCAACCAGACGCGTTCGGGAATGGCTTCTTGAGGAGCACTGACTCTAAACCATAAGTGCTATTGAGCGAAAGAACAGCTGCCGCGATGAAAGCATCAACATATGAATGAGCAAGAGATGACCTTCTTGATGGCAGCAACTGCCAGAATTCTTTCGGTGGCTCGGCGGCCGGGACGATTGGTATCTCGAAGTCCTCGCCGAGAATATTGTCACTTCTCCACTCAGTGCGTTGGCGTTTTGGGGGTTGGAGCATACGATCCAGGCAGGTAACCTCACTGAGAACTCGTTTTTTGGAGACCTTACGCGAGAAACCGCGCAGCATAGGGTCGGGATCCCATTCTTCGGGCTGTCCTGGAACATCAGGCTGCTGGGGGAGCTCTGCAGGTAGCCTGTCATTCATTGACTGGTCAATTCCAAGCAGGTACGTTTCTATTCCGGCTTCCTCGAAGACAGGCTTCCAGAAGCGCTCAGCCTCCTCCCGTGTCATCCTGTCCCTGCTCAGCTCATCCAAGGCGTAGTTCCAGGCACGTCGAACGCGATCCTCGCGATTGCGAGTCCTTTTACCCTGATAAGTCCATAAGCCAAGAGCATTGCTCCAGTCCTCGAGGAACTCGCTTATTGCGAGTTGAGTTTCTTCGTCTTCTGGGAAGGGAGCCAGCAGGAACTTGGGATCGCAGAAGATGACGGCTTCAGCGCGCTGCTCGACATATGGTACCAATAATAGATTCCAATCGAGACTGTCACCCGCCAAGGATTCCAAGGTGAGCCCGCGTGGCCAGGGTTTCTGTAAAGTAAATACCGCTGGGTTCTGCTCAACTCGCGCTTTAAGCCACATATCGTCTCGTGCCTTGGCTACGGCGTCCAAGAATCGCAATGTAGGCTGCCTTGTTTTCCAAAGTGTTGAGGAAGGGACATGGACGTCGGTAGACCGCTGGCTTGGATATAAACGTTCATTTTCCGGCTTCAGAATTTGTGATTCGGCAGCGATGATCAAGTCCAGAGTTGGCTTAAGTACAGCATCATAGACCTCATCATCAGACAATTGTAGTGTATCTTGCAGCCCGTTGATGCGTGCAAGGCGGTCTGAAGTAGCCCTGGTTATCATCGCTGTTGGTTGATGCCAAATGTGAGGTTCAAATGAAGGCTCTTGCACGGCTAAGCTGGCTGTTTCAAGGAAGGACAAGAGAAACTCATTGGCCTGATATATCGCGGCCAAGACATCCTCGGTGTTTGCGTGAGACGTGCCAAGTGCTGCGACCAAATCACGAGTTTGGCTTGCACTGCACCATGTATGATTGAATATCTGCCTCGCAGCAAGGCTATCTTTGAGAAAGCGTCGACACCATATCAGTGTCTCCGTCATAAGCTTGACATCACCAAGGGCGATAGAAAGGGCCAGAGCAGATTGAGCATAGAAGCCTCGTTTTGCAGAGTCCTGCCCTCTCATGGCTTCACGCCGCCGCCGTTCAAGCTCTTCAACCCTCAGGTTTTCGAGGACAGCTGATGGGTCATTGGGTAGGACCATATCATTGCCTTGCGCCTGGCGGATCAATAACGCTCTAATAATGTAGACATCAGGGGTATTAAGTTCCTGGTCGAGATAATGTGACATCAAAGAACCCTGGTTCGAACTGTACCCATCGATGAAATCTAGGTCTGGATTAGCTTCCAGCGATCGCTCAAAGAGAGTCAATGCTTCAACCCCGGGGAGATTCTCGAGGAGAGCGCCAGGTAGTTTGACATTCGACAGCATGGCACTTTCCGTGTGGGAAGGCGGCCCCAAATCAAATTGATAAGCAACCCCGTGTTTGAAGAACAGGCGTGCAAGAGGATATCTCATGGATGGGGATACAACAGATATCAACTCCGCAAGATCGTTGGGCGTGCATCTGATCTTGTCAATGAAGCCAATCAGAGTAGCGAGATGATCGTCCCCATAGCCATTGTTTGAATCATGCCTCCATGCCATGAGGGCAGGGGAGATCAAGCCAGCTGGTCTACGCCCCATCGCCCTGTGTGGGAGTACTTGTACCCTCAGAGAGTCATGTTTTCTCAAACATTCATTAATCAAAGTCCAGAATTGAGCCAGGTGCTGTTTTAGCCTTGAAGCTCGACGAGCGAATGGAGCAACGAACGTTAAGAATTCGTATGAAGGAAACCCACGCAGGGAATCTAACTCTGAGAGCTTCTGGACAACCGTAAGCAGAAAATCGAAATCTCGGTCACAGAATGGCTTGAGCGGCTTAAGATCCAATCTCTGGTTGTCCGAAAATGCCTTTTCGAAGGCTGTCTGTCTGAAAACATCCCAATGTGCCTCTCGTAAGCCGCGGATAGCAACACCTGTGGCGTCCTCAACCTCACGGTGCTCGATCTTGGTAGCCCATTCCTGGGCCACCACGGGCGTACAGGCGGGAGCTATACGTGCATAGACGGAACGGAGTGGTCTTTGATCAGGGTTATTGTCTTTCGAACAAAGCAGCTGGAGGAGCTCAGACATGTGCTCCTGCCGCTCAGCGCGGAGGGCCGAATTATCAAGAGCGGAATTTGCGGTCTTCTGTATTGCTGTGCAGAGGGCCCTGATATCCTTGAGGCTGAGCTCTGCCATGAGACTCACAAGCCCTTGGGCTCCACCAATCGAGTTCCATGTTGGCTTAAACGTCGCCTCGTTGCAGATATACTTGAATAGGGACTTGACGCCATACTGCCAAGCCAAAGTGCCCCGGCATTTCTGGGTTACGTCGACGGCGACAACTGGCGACCGAGCGACTCCCAGCCAAATTTGGATGACAGAAGGCGAGATCGAACCTTCTTTGACGTGTGATATCAAAATGTCTGTGAGTTGTGATCGGCTGGTTTCGGGGTTCTCCGTCAACGCGGCCTTCAGAACAGTACTTTGTTCGGCGGGTGTGCCAGCACGCAGGCGCTCGATATTGAATCCCACCACCATGGCTTGTTCCTTGGCGATCCTTCTGTATTTGGGTGCAGGAACGAGAGACAATGGTCTCAGAATGCTTTCAGCGGTGTTTGGATAAGCAAGCCTCTGGTGTTTTATGCGCCTTAGCGGTTCCCCCTTGGATGTCGGTCAGCTCAATCGGTGGCACTGCGCCTCTTGCCGCCGATTGACTCATTGCCGACATCAGCACAGTGTTGCTGCACGACACCAAGTCAGCAGCCACCTCGGATCCCTCTTGGGTTACGCTCGTCTACAGTCGACACGTGGAAAATCTACTACACATCCAGGAGGCAAAGCATAGCAGCGAGGAAAGAATGCTTCACCGCACATCAAATTGGCAGCGTCGAAAACGAAGGCGGAATCTAGGGTAGGTGCTACTAGAGGCCGCGTTCGGGATTTCAATTGCTCGCGGGAGCTCCCCATAAACATGCAGCGCACGAGGGCGTTATTGGCTGCGATCCCAGTATGTTTGCCTAGACAGGAGACACATCACAATTTATCACGTTTCCACCCAACTTGATTGACGGCTGCAAACAATCTCAGCCCTCCCCCTCTCGATTGTGTACATCGGTCGATCAGCCTTGAACTGGAAGTGCTGCCCTAACATTCCGGGCGCGGTTCCTCTGGAAGATCGCCCCCATGCATTATTGTGTATTATAGCAAGGTGCTCACTCCGTGAAACCATTCTAGGAAGCGAGGCTCGCTGTTATTCGTGAATGGGCGCAGAGACGCTTTCCCTCGTAGGGTAGGGATCTAGCTCATCTGGCCCAAAGCTGCTCCGTGTTCCTCTGCATCGCCATTTCCGCCCCGGACAAATCCCAGGTTCCAGCCCGCGGCCGCCGCCCCCCTGCTACTGACCTTGCCATGCTTGCGCGCCTGGAGCCATGGCAGCAGGCCAGGAGATCGGAGTCTCTGACAAGGAAAATGGAGCCCAGGACGACGCTAGCCATGTTGTCAGCAAGCTCAACTTTCTGGCCGATGCTCCTTCATTGATCCTTGGTTTCCTGACGAGGGAGGGTTCACCCCACTTCCTGTATTACTATGGAATGTAGCTTGTCGTACAGAAGGTAATTAAATACTATGTATCAATTTTTACACAGATAACGTAAAGCATGTACATACGAATATGTATTACGGGTGTCCAAGGGTAGGTTGCCGTCGTTTAACACCTCCTCGTCGACAAGTCCCCGCCCATTGTTGACCAGGGATCTCGGCCAAGCGCCATGGGTTGTCAGTGTCTATCCTTTAGTAAGTCATCTCGGGGCTGTCACATTAATAACTCTCAGGGACCGTGCCCGTTTGTAGAACCCGGTCTGGATGTAGACACAGGGGAGCGCTGTGGGCCGCTCATCGAGGAAGCACACAGCTACAAGGGAGGGGGAGAGGCGGAGGTGGAGTTTTTTTTTTTTTCTCACCTTCACTAACAGCACCTTGAGCACCTTCGAGAGCTCAGAGCTGTGGTACCTGTCTGCTTAGCTGCAAAAGTTCGCCATGTGGAGCGTATCCAGCCCCATTGGTAAGATAATTTCAGGATCCGTCATGAGGACAACGAGCATATCTTTGATTCGATTGGTGTTTTCCTGCAGGCAGCTAGCACTGGCAGCCCATCAGGTCCCTTGAATTTCGATAATTGAATCACCCTCTCCTCGGCTCAGGGCGAGCTAGCTTCCGCCGTCGCCTTGATGGCCACCTGACGCGTGACCACCCAGCTAGCCATCCTACCCAATTTGGCCTGCTACAGCGTTAAGTGGCACACTGACATCATAAGGGGACGAGTGCTTCGTCCATCCAAGTCGTCTCTTCGCACACCAAACAGCCCCCCCCAGGGACTCTCGGTTCTCGCTCGGGGGGCTGGAACCTTCCTAACCCCGAAGACCCTGCATCTGGACGTATTTGAATTATGTCGGTTATAGGGTAACAAACAATGCTTCCCTGTGTCTTAGCGGGATGGGGAAGATCTCGGATGGCCTGGAGAGATAGGCGGGTCATGGGGAGAAGCGATGGCGTGTCCGCAGTGTATGAGTATGTGGCACAGTCCACAGTCCCAAGGACCGTCATGGAGCAGATCCTGGCATGACCCATGCACACCGTCGAGTGTGCACTGTCGACGACGACCTGTAACGCACTGTATGGGGCCCAGCGTCGAGGTCAGATTTGACCGCGTCGTACGAGTTGGCCGAGCCTCAGTGGAAGGCTCTGGGTGGTGAATGGTAGCAAGCAGCCCAGTCAATTTGGAGCCATGTATGGTATGTGTATCAATGTCCATCTCGTCTCGCCTGCCGTCGACGGGATAGGCAGAATTGGCTAGTTTGCAGAGTTTTTCGGAAGCTCTGTCTTGAGGTTGGTATGCAGATGTACGAGGAGAGCAAGCCCTGTGACTTGAGAGGGGCAAGGTCCCAATGTATTTCCGTACTTCACGTACCTGTTGTACTATGGAGTAATTAAACTTGCTGCCGCCGCCGTTGGGGGAAGGCTAAAAAAGTCTGTCGACAAGTCAAAGCTTGAGTAATACTCTCGTGCAAAACACCCTCTGCTGGTGCTGTTGACAAGTGTGCTATTATTAGTGGATGAATTCAATTGGCGAGATCACATAACGAAGCGGCACTTTCACTGTCTGACCCGCCTGTAACACAGGACTGTGGAAGCGAGGCGATAGTACCTCGGTAGAGCAGCATTTGGCACTGGCGTGACACACCGAGACGCTGCCCACGTCCGGCGTTTCTCCCCTTGCAAAGCACCACAACTCAATGAGTATTTCGCGTCGGCAAGAGACCACCTAGCAGAGCGTCGATATGCAGGAGAAACTCGTATAAGAAGGAGGCAGGCTTGTCGTGCGGTTGTCGGGCTCGAGACAGCCACATAAAACGCGTCTTATCAGCGTTCCATTATGCACCGGCCGGTATGTTTGGTTCCCCAAACTAATAATAATACACACGTCCCGCTAGTGGTGAGTCTTCACGCGAACTTGACACAGCGGCGACAGTGCTGGGTGTGCCTAGCGGATCCCATGGGGGACCGATTCACACGGTGCGAACAAGAGTGAGTGGGCTCGTGGGTTCCTTTGATGGTCTTGTTCTCCCCTCCTCCGCCCCAGCCCAACCTCTCCCTTCCTCCTGCCCCCTTGGCCTTGGCGAGCCCTCGCTACGTTCGATGTATGTACCGGTGGTAGCACTCTGGCTCCCCTCTGGCTCCACCAGAAGCCGGTCGGGGTGGCTTTCCAACATTCCTCTGGTTCCACTCAGGGTGGGCATCTAAGCCGCCCTACCACAAACCAACGCGTCTCATTGGCTAAAAGGCCTGCTAGCGGCCTAACAAAGGTAAAACTCAACCTCGCGAGTGCAGGTAAGCTGGGCAATGTACCTGCTCTGTGCACGCAACCCCCCGAGGGGGGCCTCTTTCCGCCGCTGCACGCATGAGATTGGACCGAATTCTAGCTTTGAGGAGAACTTGGGGTGTTCTCGCGCTGGAGAATCGCGTGAAGGCCGATTAAGAAAAGTGACACACGTGAAAGTCTGCGTTGAGAGGTGCGTGTCCTATTTTCTGCGTTTGTATTGCACGTGAAGAGACGCGCCCTTTATGAAGGCGAGCCTGGCTGGAGTCTCCGAGTGCGGAATATTCGCCGAGTGTGGGCTGGAATAAGCGCACCTAGGCTGCTGGCTCGCTCCTTGGGCAGCCCGCCAAGGAGGTAGGTACCTCCAGGCAGGCACTTCCTTACCTCCTCGAGTACTTCGGCATGGGTACAGCTTGCGGTACCCACCTGCCAATCATCCACCCTGCTCGCCCACACCTTTCTCTCTCTCACCCTCAGCCCGGCTTCTGGCTCAGGCGGTACGCCCCTAAAAGTAAGGCCAATTTTCTGTCGCAAAAAGGGCACTTCCCTTCCTCTCCGCTCGTCTCCAGATTCAGTATAGATCCATCGGCACCACGCTCAAAACAGTATCTCCACCACTTTTTGCCTTTTACAGCCTGTGTGATACCAGTCGATTGGATTAGCAATCATGGCCGACATCACGGATCAGCATGACCAGACTTCACCAAATGACCTTGCCGAGTCGCACTCGGTAGGCAATGGCAATGGCGGCGCTCAGGAGAGCCGCGGTATCAAGCGCGCGAGGCCGGCGCCCGGCGACGACGACGACGACGATGACGAGAAGGGAGGACGCGAGCGTCGCAAAATTGAGATCAAGTTTATCAGCGACAAGTCTCGGCGTCACATTACCTTTTCTAAACGCAAAGCTGGTATCATGAAGAAGGTCAGTCACGTCGACGAGACCGCGCTGGGCGTTTTCCCCGCGCGAATGTGCGTTGTCCCGCGCGGCTTCACGGGAAAACAGAACTCAGCGTGGACGGGAGCCCGTCGCGTCACGAGCGCGACGCAATATGAGCATCACAGCTAATCCATTGTCTACAGGCATACGAACTGTCCGTGTTGACGGGAACGCAAGTCCTCTTACTCGTCGTCTCAGAGACCGGTCTTGTCTACACTTTCACAACTCCGAAGCTCCAGCCACTGGTTACCAAGGCCGAGGGCAAGAACCTGATTCAGGTAGGTGACAACCTCTTTTAGAGCCCTTTCTCGGCCGCGTGGTATTCTTTCGCTTCCGATTGATTACACCCTTGGTCTTTGCGCGTCTTGTTCCGACGCTACCGCCCCTACCACTGTGATCACCGTACTGACTGGTTCTCAATAGGCGTGCCTGAACGCTCCCGAGCCTTCTGGAAACGAAAATGGTGTAGACGCAGCCGACCAGGTTGAGTCTCCCGAAGAGTCTGCGAGCAACCAACATCTTCCTCCACAGGGCAGTCGTCCTGGCATGCCACAGAACCCTCATATGCCACCTGGGTATAACATGCCTCCAAACATGCCCATGGACCCTCAACAAGCCATGGCATATCAGAGTTACGTGCAGAGAAATCAGGGTTACGGCTCCGGCATGCCCCAGCCTGGCATGCCACCAAGCAGCCACCACCAATCATGATGATGAGAAATCATATTGAGCCGATCTGGTCGTCGATACCCGGCTTTCAACAGCCCCCACATCAACCTCGTATCCTCTCAATACTAAGCCTTTGAGAGAGAGAGAGTTGTTGACTCTTTTGAAAAAGATGTTGATATGCCATTTCATTCTTGTGCCTCTTCTTCTTTTTGTGTCTTCAAAGCATCCTCTTTCGAACCTCAAACGACTAGTCTGGCAGTCTGATCCGAGTTGTTTTGATGCTGAATAGCAATCACACAGAACCTCACGCCAAGGTATCAGCTATGCAACTCTCTTTCGGCTCCCAGACAAAATGGGCTTGGTGAATTGTTGTCGGCGTCCGCTTTTGCGCTTGAAATTCAGGTGCAGGATGGCGTTAAAAAGAGACACTCACCTTCTCATGGCGCGAGGATTCCGCCTTTCATTCACTACTTTCTGCTATTCTGTTGTTTGTTCACTCTTTCCTTCGGATGGATTAAGGTCATATTTTTCATATCTTGGGAGCTGCTATTGCCAGTGATGGGGGTGGAATTGGGGATATTTTTGCGAGGGAAGTTTGCGTCGTGGATGGTATATTGCAAGGAAGGATGATTACTACGATAGCATGAATGTGTCTGTTTATTTGCTTTGCGGCTGGGGGATGGAGCTGGATCTGACACATATATCAAGGACTGAGAGTACAGACTTTGACCTAGATAATATGACTTCAGTATTCGTGAAGACACATTGGGACATGCATGCTTGATTTGACATGTGGTGACAGCAAAGGAACAGGAACTGGTCTCAAACAGGTAAGTGGGGGATCAAATGCCGCCATATGGCACGATCCAGCAATTCGAGTCATCGCAGAAGTCGGTATAGCAAAGAGACGCGCAAGCCAGAGCCGTTACAGATATCAGACAAGGGCAAGAAGTCCTGGCAGGCTGTTGCCACGAGATTCATGCAAGGACGGTAGTGGTCGCGGGCGGCTGCGGGATTCGCGATGGAGCTAGCAACCTTCTTTTTGCTCCCGTTGGCAGGACCCTGAAGATGCGACGGGCTAAAGCGGAAAATGCGGGGAGCTATCAGGAAACAGATGAGAAAGACGTCAGAACCCGAAAGCAGTAAGAAGCTCCAGGTTCTTTGGACACCGGTTGGCGCGCGGGTTCCCGGGGGTGGGCAGATACTCTTTTGGGGAGCGGGAAAATATTATAAACTGGGCTTGCTTTGTTTGTCTTGGTGCTTTAACTTGTTCTGGATTGGGAACGCGGCCAGGAGAGTCAGGCAGGAGGGGCGATAATTTATCAGGTGCTGTGCAACGGGGCAAGGTAGAAAATATAATGAGAGGGCAGGAAAAGGTAGAAGAAGAGAGGATGGGCCTATCATTGCTAGCAGTTGTCTTGTGCCTATCCTCTTGGCGAGGACGGTGGTAGGGGATGTCTGGGTGGGATGAGGTAAGAGATTTCTGCGTGTCCATATTTCCTGCAGTGGTGCCATTGAAGAGATGAGGAAACGAGAGCCATTTGATGTAGTTGATTGTGAAACCGAGGCTTCTTTGGGACAATTGAGCAACGACTTGCCATCTAGAGCATTTTTAAGTTGGCTGGCAACTGGGATCTCTGAAGGGACTACTCCGTATGCCTCTGTGCTAACTCTCCGCGCCATCTTCAGTTCCGGCAAGCTTGGACCCCCAATAAGTACCTAAGGTAGTTCTAGCAATAGCGCCAAATCATGAAGTTCCGGGTCTACCTGGAAGAACTCGTCATTCTTCTTTTCCTAAACTCTTCAAGACAACCAACTATTGCCTCTGGAGCGCTTGATTGAGAGTTGCGCGTGGAACGGGTAAATATATCTCCACTGCTTGATCTGATTGGTAGGCCAGCCGCTAAGCACTAAGCTATGCGGTAATCGGCAATGCACCAACGTTGGAAGGAGCATGAGCAGGTTTGAGAAGGTTTCCTCAAGTACCGGTACATTCGTCTTGGTTCGCCTGCCAGCAATCTAGCTCATCGGCGTGGCGAGAGCCTAAGTCTTCTACACACTATAGTTAACATAGTTGACAAATTAATAAGGTAGTGAATTGATATGTAGAATCTAGGGCGCTCAAGTAATGCCTCCTGTGCTAGAATGATGTGACTTGAATCGTGAGGTCGTGTGTATATATATTTCAAGATCTAATGCTCTGGGATAGACGAGTACCGCCCGACTGCTAGACTTCCAATGAAAACACCGGCCAGGACGGACAAGAAATATCCAACATTCATCGTCATTACCGCCAACATGCTGAAAGGCGATTAGAAGTGTTAGAAATTGCATATAGTTAAATGTATTGATAGCGGCCTCTTCTATCCGAGGGAGTATTGGGACTTACAGAAGATATCCAACACCAACGATAACCGTATCCAAGGCCGCACGAACAGGATCAACGCTGAACCGCCACGGCCTCGTCTCGCGCGTCTTCTTCTCAACGACAAATACATTCTCCTCTACACCATTCTCGGAGATGACCACCTGCTTGGCGTCGCGGTCCCGGGTGATTCGCTCAGCCAAGGGCTCTTTCCCGTTGACGGCGATATAACGACGCTCAGCGGCCTGGCTCGCCCACCGACTCTCCTGCCGCGACTTGAAGGCCACCAAGAGGCGGGCAATTATGGCGAGCACGACGAGGAAGATGCATGCGCCGGCGTAGGCGCCGGCGCTCTTTGGCGTCCACAGGTCCGAGTAGAGGGGCGTGCTGCTGTCTGTCTGGAAGGTCATCATCATATGGCCAGTCGAGGAGGTGGAATCGCTCCCCGAGCTGTGGTCGGAGTGATCCATACTGTTCCAGATGATGTGCTGAGAAAGGGAGCAACTATGGAGAGGAATTAGTCCTCTTGGGAGAGGCGCGAGTTGGAAACGGACGCCGGGATGAGACAGCTGCAACCAATGAACCCAGTCTCTCGGAGCCACACAATTTCGGCACACAGAGCGCAAGGAATGTGTCTGTATTTATGGTGGACGGTTTGGGTATTTTATTAGCGACTCGAAGATGCAATGTGTCGAGGACCCGCGCCGAGAACCCGCAAACGTATCCAGAGTCGGAGAAGAAGGCAAGATACCCTTCTGCTTGACATCCCGAGCTAAAGAGGAACGGGATAACGGTATTTATGGACCATGTTCTTGGAAATCAAAGAGGTTCATGCCCCCTTCGGCTTGGGAGACTGGGGCTTGGTTGTGTTGTACGAGGGAGCGCAGGTACCGGTACTTTGTACCTTTGTTAGCCGCTGGTACATGCTGAATCAACACCAAATTTACGACTGAGACTGATGGGAGTCCATTTGAGCGGTTTAACAAGAGCCAGGAAGCAACGTCCTTCCCAGTATCAATAGATCTACAAAATATTTGCACGCGATGGGCTTCGTCGTGCCTGATCTTGCTTATTAACATCACTTCGACTCGACGCAAGCACCTCAGGTAGCCGAGTTATGTCATCACTTTTCAAGTCTGGCAGATGGTCTTTGCATGTCGATTACACACATTATTCGCCAATTATGCTTTCTGTCTTCTGTAAACCGCTGATATGCATTTAGAGCACGCTCAAAGCAAAGCTTGCAAGAGCCATGCTCTCTATTTACTATACAATTGAATCATTACCTCTCCTGTCAGGTCCTGGACTTTCAACTCTCTCAACCGGGCCTTCATTTCGGTAGTCCGAAACTGATGATGGACCATCGCCAGTCATGGTTGAACTGCTCGACGGTCGTCCGCCGCTCCATTCTTTCAACCATCTGAACGAAAGCATGCTGGTGAGTGAGCCTGAGACCGAGTTGGTTCGTTTCCTCATGTGCCTGCGCGCCACAAGACCGGGAAAGCCTGTACTCTTCCTCCGGCGGCGGCTTGACCTCCTTGGCGTTGACTCGGTGCTCGCACTGGTTTCGCCAGTAAGCTGAATGTTGCTGACACTTCTTCTATTCTGGGCTAGCAGAGGGCTTGATTCAGCACGACCAGGGAGAGTCATTGAGCGGAATCGCCCAGCAGGGGTGCTCGGCTCGTCCTGATCTTCCAATTCGCCCCAAATCTCAGCCCGCTCTGCCCAGCGGAAGCTTCTCTTGCGGGTTGGCGTCAAAGGGGTGGTTTCAATATGCCTGTGGTCAAACGTATGATATGTAGCAGGGGTCTCCTCTTCCACCGCAGACTCGGACCCCAAGAGTGATTCTTCTTCGCCTTCTGTGTCATCCACAAGCCCCAAGCCGGGCGCGAGCGACGATTGTCCAACTCCGGGGGTATGCTGCTCCTCGCTGAGCCTCCACGAGAGGGCGAGAACTCCAGATAATAATATAACGGTGCCAAGGGCGATCAAGCAGGCTCTGCGTGTCGAGATGAGCGCTGTCTGGTCAAAGTAGATCAACCCGTCGAGGATGGCGATGATGTTGTATATACAAAAAACAAGAGGATATAAAACTGAGGTTGAGACCAGCTTAAGACCTCGATGCAAGTAGTAAAGCTGACAAAGAGCCAAGGAAATAAGTGCTAAAACAATCATCCAGGCTTGCCAATAGATGAATTGGTTCTTCCCGCCAACTGTTTTGATGACTAGTTCTACAGAGGATTTGGCGAAAAGGAGCGAGTGTGCGGATAAAATACCGCTGATAACTCCGTAAACAATGCCGCGGACCAGCCTGAACTGTGCGTTTGAGGCGATGCTGGAGACAACACTCACGACATCCATAATGACCGCTATCGCCACGACAAACAGGGCTTGCAGAATCATCCAAATAACAAACGGTTTTCGAGCCAAAAGAACAAGTAGCTCATTGAGATCATGAGCCGGAGAGGGAATTGCTCCGAAGATGGCAATTAATATCGCACCGGACGTAACTAACGTAGTGCCGTAGAGAGACCATCGCGTGAATGGTTCGCTGAGGATGATGGAAGCGCATATCGAGTTGAAAACCAAGCCGGCGGCTTGGAGGGTCGAGAGGACTGGAAGAGGGAGAGTGGAAATTTGGACCGTGCTTCCCAAAATATTGGCCACGAGAAACATGGCCATCCCCACCTGCCATCTTCTTCTTCGGTAAGGCGGTCGGCGTACGTCGTGCGGCCCCTTCTCATCCTCCAAGATATGCGACTTTCGTTGAAGGGTCAACCCAACACTCTGAACGCTGGTCGATAATATTCCCACGATGATGCCCAACTGAGAATCAAATAAAGATTAGTGGTGAGAGCTTTTGGAGAGAGAGACATGGTATTATTATGTTGACGTACGGCTATGCCCCCTCCAGGGGAGAGACTACCCAGGGAGACCATTGCGCCGTGTCCAGACCCGTGGTCATCTGGCACCGAAGAGGCCTGGACGTCGCATAGGGGACTGTTGGCAAGTATATGTGTCGGCAAAAATGACGGGATATAGGTGCAAATAAGCTTCGAGATACTGTCTTCAATTGGACATGCGCTATCGAACGAGTTCGTGTTGCTGAGAGGGGCTGGGCAGGGGCGCGCGGTCACCGACAGGAGCTATCGCACAAACGATGAAATATGTAGAGTCCAGTATAATTGGAGTGAAGAGCGAAGGTAAATTGCGCAAAAGTCGGTATAGCACCGTCTAGCGATCACATGAGGTTTGGAAGCGTGCCCATGCCTGCAGTTGGAAGGTCGCTTTCCTCAGCCTGAAGGATGCAGCCAGGGAAAGCTTAAGATGAATTCATGTGGCGGTGCGATCAGGTGACAGACGTCATGCATTTGTTGAGAGGGAGCGTTGGAGAATGTGGCTTGACCTGTTTGGGAATGTGTGGCTGGTGCGTGTTCACTGGGACCTGAGGCTGATGAACCTTATGCGGGAGAGGTAGCTCCATCGTCATCAGCAGCTCGGCGACGGCACTCCACTTAACCACACCTTGTGCATACACGCCGACGTGCTCCTCGACCGGTCTCGCCTCACGCCCAGTCCTTATCCTTCTTTTGTTTTTTCCTATTTCCGCATCTAGGGACATACCTGCATCAACTCCGCCAAGATGTCTCAACACGCATTATCTGACCAACAGGTACGCCGCGAATTGCCAGCGATCCTTTTGCGCAGCCCCCCCAGTGCTTGAGGGCCATCCTGCTGACTGTCCTAACCCAAGGTCAACAATGAGCTCAGCAAGATGACTGCGTTCATCAGGCAGGAAGCTATGGAGAAGGCTCGTGAGATTGAGATCAAGGCCAATGAGGAGTTCGAGATTGAGAAGTCCAAGCTCGTCCGCCAGGAGACCGACGCCATCGACACACAGTACGAGAAGAAGTTCAAGCAGGCAACAATGTCGCAGCAGATTACACGCTCTACCGTCTCGAACCAAACCCGTCTCAAAGTTCTAGGAGCCCGTCAAGAGCTCCTCAACGGCATATTCGATGAGGCCCAGAAGAAGCTTGTTGAAGGTGCCAAGGATAAGGCCAAGTACCAGAAGACGCTCCGTGGGCTTATCTTAGAGGGCTTCTACGCACTGCACGAACCAGAGCTCCAGATTCGCGCGAAAAAGGCAGATTTCGACGTTGTGAAGAAGGCAATCGCCGAAGCCGAGAAGGACTACAAGAAGGAGGTTGGCAAGGATATCAAGGGTACAATTGACGAGTCGAAGCCCCTTGCTGAAGGCCTGTACGTTCCGGCTCCTGATCCTTATATTTTTTTGAATTCGGGACGAATTGATACTGACATAGAAAACTAGGACCGGCGGCGTGGTTATTGTAGGTGGCAATGGAAAGATTGATGTGAACAACACTTTTGAGGCTCGACTGGAAATTCTTCAGGACTCTGCTGCTCCCGCTGTGCGGGAGGCATTGTTTGGAAAGAATCCCAACCGCAAATTCTTCGACTAAATAACTTGTCTTTGGGTCCTCTATACATGCATGCTCTCGCTTAGCGGAGAACATCGGGCTTTTCCTGTTTACTCAGACCTGCACGTACGCCGTGTCTTTTGCGATTTGTAGCTAGAAGTTGTATCATGAATTCATTACTATATGCCGTTTTACATAGCTTTTTGCTGTCATCATCCTGTCGCTTACATCAAAGGACCCATACTCAAAGCTGATACATTGCTAGGCCTTTTTGAGGAAGTTTTGCATGTACGCCCGCTGTTGCGGCATGGAGGGGTCTTCGGCTCTATCCAGGGTCTGGAATATATCCGCCTTTCTCTGCCGCTTCGTGCGGACTGACAAGGAAATGCGTTTTTGAATCCACTCAATCACACTTTTGGCTTCGGCTCGAGAAAGTTTCATGCCCGAGTCGTTTATCTTCCGAGTCAATGCGGCTAGGATGGCTGCAAGTTCGTCGACTTGTTCATTAAAAATCTTCTCGTTCTCTGCATTTTCAAAGGGAGAGAATGAGCCGCTGGCGATAGCTATGTCAAGAAAGATGATCTTTGCTTTCAGTTCCTCGAAGTCTGTCTTCCGAGTAACGGTCAAGTCCGGTTCTTTCAAACGAGTGATGCAGCGCTCGACAGTGACGATATCTGTGGGTTCACGGTCCCCAAGATTGGGATCGTTGAAGAAAAAGGCTGTAGCAAGTCTGCGCCTGAGATTCCGTGCCCTCTCGTTGCTGAGTGGAAGGCATAGAAGAGAGTTCAGGCGGAGGGAGTTGATTGTAAAACCAGTGAAAAGAAGTTTGGTAGTTTGTAGACACTGCTGAGGTTAGGAACTGTGTTTCTAGGGTCTACATAGGGAATGAGGGGGTATTTGCTTACAAACGAACTCCATGACGGATCCGGTAAGCTATCAAGAAGCGCCTCAATTGTTCTTCCATATTCAACCACAAGATCAATGTTGCATATGAGGAACTTGTCCACAGACATCTTTAGAAGCATTTG